CTCCCCACACACAGACCCCTCTCCAGCACAGCTCCACATGCACACAGGGCACTGGGAACAGGAGGAGAGGCAGGTAAAGCACAGCTGCTGCACAAGAGTGCTCTGGGAACACCCACCTGTATCCCGAGCACGCTTGGGGCGTGCAGCCACACTGGCGATGGTTCAGTACCACAGACCATGCTCTGCTGGACTTCTACACCACTTAATTTCATCATACAGGCTAAAACACTTTGGGAAAATGTGCCAGCATAGCAGCAACAGTTTATAATCCCGTTAGCAAAAATGCACAGGCTCGTTGTGCCGAGGCCTCGCTCACACCCCACCCCCAACACACAGGACCCAGCTAAGTGCCCATGTGCAGCACAGCATCCTCTGTGCTTTATTGCCCAGCCACTTTTATTTCACCCAAATGAAAAATAAAAACCCATTACTAAGCAAAAGTCTTGAGAAATTTTATGAGATTGTAATGCTTCCAATTTATGTTGAAAAAGCCCCAAATCCTCAAGCTGTCTGTCGCTGCTCCAGCCAGGGATGCGGGAGATGCTGCTGACGCAGCGCAGCACAAGTGATCAGAGAGGGAAATGCTACTCTGACGGGGTGCTGTCAAAAAGAAACAGGAAGGGCTTCCTCTTGTTTAGGGCATAATGGAAAACCAAGGCAAAAAAATATAGAACAAACACTAAATTTATGCAGGACAGTGACAGATGTCATGTAAAACATTTTAAATGATTTTTAGGTCTCGATACTTTCTGCCCACAGCTTTCAGACAAGATGTATTTTAGGAAGGGAATACACTCAGGGGGCATCAAGTGTCAGTGCAGACATTCATAGTAACAAACTGCTGAATATTCAAGTGTATCAGAAGGAAGAATGCAGGAGAAAACAGAATAAACAGAGAATATTGCAAAAACCTTAAACATTCAATCAATGCTTACACATACTCTGCAAGGCACAGCTGGTGCACACAGAACTGCAGGAACAGTAATTAAAGACCACTACCCAAATACTGCCCACCACCAAAGCTCCCTTCAGCATCTCTCACTTGGCTCCTTCTGTGACAGACATCCTGCCTGGATACTACACCTGGCATGACTGCTGATGTCCCTGACCTTCCTCTGCCATTTCCTACCCTACAGAAAAGTATTCCACGACTGCCACGGCTGCTGGGAGCATCCTGTGAGTGTGTGAGCAATAAAGATGAAATGCAGTTTTCCTCCAGGCTCCCAGAGAACTGGATTATCACATTTCAGCAATTACTGCAAACACTGGATTTACAGTGGGGCTCTGTGGAGCTCTGGTGTGTCCCCATGCCTGCCTAGCTCAGCCTGGCATCCCACTCTGCTTCCTTGGCTCACCTGCCAGAACAGTGCCACTGACACTCTTCTGCACCAGTTCTGAATTATTCAGTGAGCACTTTATGCATGTGCAATGTGAAACAGCTCTCTGCCGACATCCCTCTCTCCAAGGCTTGTTAGTCTTAATTTGTTTGACTGGCCAAGAGGTCTAAATTTACAAGTTTTTAGCATAATCCTATAGCACAATTTATGTACTTCTTAATTACAAAAAAGGGCAACACTTTTAAAACATGTATTCCCTCCCATCCCTATAGCACCTGAACAGCAGCACTAAAGGAGACATCAGCTCCTGCTACAGGTGGAACACGATGAGCATCCAAGGAGCTCAGCATCTCCAGCTGTGCAGCACAGGAGTGGGAGTGAGCAAGGGGCCCATGGCAGTCCATGGGTGAAGGCAAAGCCTGCCTCTGTAACCCTGGCAAGCAGCAGCTCGCCCGGAAGCCTGGCAGTCAAATTAATTTTCAGTTCCTGGGGTGCCAATTTCCAACACACAGAAGGGAATGCTGCATTTCCCTGCTCAGCTGTGCCAATGTTTGAAAATCGTCTGTGTCTGAGAATCCACATTTTCTCTCCATTAGTCAGTACGAGTGCAAACAGGGGGTTTTCTTTTTCTTTTTCCAATGACACAAAATCTGGTACTATGCTGAAGGTCTAACATGGGCAGCCTGAGTCCTGCCAGGGACAAACCAATGCACTCAGAGTTACAGCTGTGCCAAAGCCTCTGCAGGAGCCTGGGACCTGCCATCACCCACATCTCAAAAATGGTTTCAGCAGCTCTGCTCCATGCTCAGTGAACTGTGAGCAGCCAGGGCTCTGCATCTTCTCAGAAGGGAACAGATAATGCAGAACAATAAAAACTGAAGTTCTATTGAGGTGTCTTCCCCAGAAACCTGTGAAGAAGCCACCTGTGTCTTCATCCCCAGCTTCTTCTCTGCCTGTGTCACTCAGAGCATGATCTCATATTTCTAGAGATCAGATAATCAAAAGTAAAATATGAGAACCAAATGTAGGAAACTGCCACTTTCTTCATTCAGGCCCAAGAGTGAGTGTCCAAGAGAGCATCCATGCAAGAGGCTGCCAGTGCCCAGGTCAGGACCATGTCTGGCAGGAACAGTCAATGCTGGCTTGGCAATTACAACACCTATTACAAATATTAAAGGTCTTTGGAGTAGGGCAGCACTTAAAATCCATTATCAAGAAAGCTTGAAATGTCTCAAAATTGTGAAACCCCTTGAGAAGAGAGAGGAGCTGAAAGCCCCATGCAGCAGACCCCAGCCACAGCTGCCAACACCACGGGCTCTGCTGACAGCCTGAGAGCTTCTAGCTGAGACCCAGAAAACTGCATCATGGAGCTCCAGATGACTGGTTCTCATTTCTCATCCCTCTGACCAGTCTGCAGGGAGCAGGCACATCATGCCAATCACAAATGACAACACAAAGTTATTTAAGTAAGAAATCAGACATCACCCTATAATTAATGTCTATGGCGCCATGTAAATACATGAGAAGAGCTGCGAGCCCCCATGGCTTGTTTGAGTCCTGGCCTTGATGCTGAAAATATGAGGCAGGAAAGATTAAGAACAATTGTGTGGGGATTTTTAATCGATATCTAACTTGACAATAGGCTTTGGAGGAAGATCATCCCATAAAACATAGCCAGCATCACAGACTAATTGTATTTACTCCCTATTGACCAGACACTGCACAGAGAGCACAGAGAGAGTCCCAGGAAGGTGCTGAATATCTCCCCAAAAAAATGGAAAGTCACCCATATGCCTCTGTGAACTATAAAGCCAAACATATTGCTGGAGGTTAATGTTACACATTGCCCTGGCTGTACCTATATTTGAATATCAAACTCATTTACCAGGGCTGTTGAAGTGAAAGCTTCTGAAGGAGATGCACAAAACACCTTCTGTCTCTCTGACACTGCTCCTGAATTCACCATGGAGCTGAACACAAACGCTGTGCAGACGATAGAAAAGCATCTATTCTTGGCCAGCTCCTTTCTGCCGGCTGCATAACCTTGAGCGCATGACTGAAGGATGCCCGTTTATGCCTGGGAGATGCTGCCATGAATCACAGACCCCTCTTCCTCCCACAGCGAAGGCACAGCGTGTCCTTGTTGAGGAATACCAGTCTACCACAGCCACAGTGAGACATCCTGCAGCACATTTTATAAATAGGCTTCTAAGAAATGTACTTCCCATCCTCTTGACAAAAAGTGATTACCAGAGCAAAGAGAATGACTAAACATCGATGCACACCCTGTGAACGTGAAGGAGCCAGACCCCAGGGAAGAGCTCAGAGATCCTACAGTGGCTGCAGTGCAACCCATCAGGGAGATGCTGGCTGAGTGCCACAGCAGCCAGGGCCAGCAGCACTTCTAGGGAGCACATCACAACAAGAAAAAGTAATACAAAGCTCAAAAAGGAAGAGAAGAGAGGTGACCTATGGAGCCAGGAGCTCTCGAGGAGGATAAGCACAGCCTGGGTAGCCCATAAGAGAAGAGGATCGATGCAGTCATGCTGTGTTTTCAGAGGAGCCACAGTTCTCCTCTGCGAGGTGCTGCGCTGCTCCCACCACTGCAGCCAAGCATCTCCTCCTTCCTTGCACATATGCCACAGATGTGGAACTGAGAACACATAAGTATCACAGAGGAGGGTGACATCTGGTGCGTGTTTTCTTTGATTATATCCATACTGTGGGCACCATCCTCTGTGGGTTGTATCCTGCCCCACTGACAGCAGCAGTATCTTCTTTTTTAGTACGAAAGTGCAATTGCAAAACCAGGGAGAAACACGAATTATTTTCCATTTGCTTCTAGAAACAGATGTCACTTTCCTCAGACTTGTTTGTTTTCAGGATCATGGGAGTTTCATCTTTAAAACAATATTTTTATAGTATGTGTCAAATGCCATTTCATAATGAAAGAAAACAAATTGCTTCCACTTTGTACACCATGGTAACCAGTCAAGAATGTGAACAGCTCCTCAAAGGTGGGGTCAGCAAACACCCCTAGGGCAAACTCCCACATGAGATCCTTCGAACACCCCCACAGCCCCAGGGGTGCTGCCCAAACCCTGTGTAAATAAGAGGAAAATTTGGCTTGACTCCTCCTGGGACTTTGCTGTTCCCACAACAGCCAGAAGAAAAATCATTGAGTGACTTCAAAATACTCCCTGGAGACTAAACATCTCACTGGAGGAAAGCAGATCCACTGCAGGGCCAGCTCCAAGGTTCACCCCAAATTCAAACAGCCCCAGGGTTCTCCTCAAAGTCAAGCACAGCCCAGGGCTGATATCTCTCCCACAGCATGGCATGCCTGTGCAGCATTCGCTTCACTGGCTCCTGCCTTGCTTCAGGATGGAACAACACAACCAGAAACCTCCAGAAAGTCTCACTTGAGCCAACTCCATGTTTAGACAACATATGAGCTGGCATCAGCTCCGTATTGCTAGAGAAAATATACAATCCCTCCAAACAGACATGCAGCTAAGAAGCCCCATTTCCTTTTCACACAAACAAAATCCCCCAGACAGTAAAACACGGGATGCTGACTCCCCCCACCCCCTGGCAGCAGCTGAACGTGGCTGCAGCAGCTCCACCAGGTGACCCCAGAGAGAAAACTCGTTGTCATCCTACCTGCAGAAGCCAGTAGCACCTTCTGTGAAACGTGGGGATGATGGAGGAATGGACATAGCAGCCATACAGGCACTGGGGACACAAAAAGAGAAAGCAGGTTAGTGGAGGAACCATCCCAAGAGGCCGGGCTGGGGAAGGGGTGGCAGTGTGTGACACGAATGGAGGACGTTGTTCTGCTGCTGGTGTGGGGCTGGTGACACACAACACAGCATTGTGGCAGCCCAGTGCAAGCACTGCAGACCTTGCTACAGGTCACAGAACCCCCTCCCTAACAGCCCCTGCCCTGCCACCTCCAGCCAAGGTGGCACCTGGAGTGGCCAGAGCCAACAGGGGCTCCTGTGGTGCTCAGCACCACGACACAGACAGGGCTGGTCTGGGGGCTGCCACTGAATCTCTGCTCCTTCGTATTTTTACTTTTTGGCAAATACAACACGTTCATTTCTTTTTCCATGGCTTATCTCCTGGGTATTTCAACTGAAATGTTGTGTTTGTAAACTGAAAAAATTGCTGTCAGATATTTTAGACAGCAAAATGCCAAAATATAGTTTGTTTCTTTTCTTTTCTTTTCTGGGTTTTTTTTTTTTTTTTAATGAATTCTGCTTCTCTGATTAACTGAAATCAGCAAAGCTGAGGAATTCTTTCTGCAAAGAAAAAACCCCACATTTCCAGAACGTTAAAACTTTTTTGGTTGGAAACCAAGCCCGGTGCCAACCCAAACACATAAAACTGGTTTTAATCACAAAGATCCTGAGTGCAGAGGGGTGCCTGTGCTGCTGGACATGCGTGCTCAGTGAGCACATGGGAGGCTGCAGCACTCCCCCCTCCCCAGGATCACCGCTCACAAGGTCGGCCTGAATTAAACAGGATTTAAGGACTGGCTGCTATCACTGAGTTATTTTTAAAACACAAATGACAAAGATTAATAATGTTTTTAAAATGTGTCAAGGGTACATTCTACACACTGAAATGCAGGGAGGAAAAAAGCCTTGCAGAAAATAATCCAAAGAAAAGCTTAACATTTAAATCCCGCCTGAGGGTTGGGGAACAGCTGCCCTGACAGTGACTCCTGGCACTGGGGGCTGCATGGAAAGGTCTGCAGTGTTCAGTTCTGCTGACTCAGAGCTGGTCCCCCCACCCCAGAAAGCAGCTTGAGAGGTGCAGCATCTCCCAGTCCAACCTGCTTCCCAGTGAGGATGGGAAAGCTGCTCTGGAGCTGCTGGAGCAGCCTTCACAGCAGCCAGGGACATCCACAGCACTTTGTGAGATAGGTATCAATCTATTCCAGCACCCCCTGACTTGTTCCCACCCCAATTTGCTGTGGAGTCGATCGAAACTTTGGCTGATTAAAACAAACCCCAACACTGGGCTCTGTGCAGCTCGTGGTGCGCAGCAGGCGGGAGCGCTGCCCTCCCTCTCCAGAGCTGTCTCGCGGATAATTCTAGAGCTGTCAATAATGAATCACACAAAAGCCTCCCACCTCCACAAAACTGCTTCTCAACATTTCAGCAAACCATTAAAGAAATCCTAACAGCTCAGAGAATTCAAAAAGCACGCAGAACACAGAAGGGATTTCTTACATTTTTCTTTTCTTTTTTTTTTTTTTCCCCATGGCAGCAGGACATGGGAATCTGACTCTGGATGGATGTTTTGAGAGTGGATGTCCAACCTGGACAGCTGGGATGAAGGAGACCCACACACTGAGCAATCTCCTGGCCTCAGAGAGATGGCAGGGACTGTCCCCACAGGCACTGAGAGCTACCAGAGTGGCAGAGAAACACTGCAGGGGTGAAACAGCCCCTGGAAGCCCAGCACGTGGAGTGCAGGCAAAATGAGTGATGACAGCAATAAAAACTACATTAATTTTTGGACAAAAAGGCATAAGAAAAAGTTGAGGATATAAATAGAAACCTAGGAAATCTGTGTGTCATTGTTTTGGAGGATTTTTAAGATTAATGGGTTAAGCACTGTGGATGACACAAAACCTGCAGCCTGGCTCAGCACATTGGGGTTGTGGGGAGGTGGGTGTAGGATATTCCTGCACATTGGGGTTGTGGGGAGGTGGGTGTAGGATATTCCTGCACATTGGGGTTGTGGGGAGGTGGGTGTAGGATATTCCTACTTGGATATTCCTGCACATTGGGGTTGTGGGGAGGTGGGTGTAGGATATTCCTACACTTGGATCTGCTGACCCCTGCCTTTGGCCCTGGGATGGCCCAGGGTTGCCAGCTCAACAGCTCCCTGCAGCTAATGAGGAGAGTGGAAATACCACCCTGACTGTCCAGAGCAGACAGGTAACCAGGGCAGGAATAATACCTTTAGCTAAAGCAATCTTTAAAATGAATTCTTGCTCAAAACAGGCAAAGGGGGTTTCATTAGCTGTGCTTTCTTTTATTTTTTTTAATTGTTTTTTAGTGGGAAGGTAAAAGCTGCAGAGGCCTATGTGTCTGTGGAGATGTTAATGCCAGGCTGGGCGCTCAGCCAATGCATTAAGTGAAATCGAATTCCTGAAACCAGCTTTAATCAGCAGATTTTTAAGGTTAGAACGACTCTCTCCTCTGCAAGGCTTGCCAAGGTTAATTCTGTCCTGAGCAGGCTGAATTAATGGGCTGGACAGGGGAGAACATTTTTTTTCATGATTCTCTTTTAAGTTTACAAAATCTCCAGGAGAAGAGAAAAGGCATTTCTGAGCAGTCTGAGGAGAAATGCCACCTCAGCAGCTCATTGACTGTGGTGAGGAGAACACGGCCAGCAGCAGCCTGACCCTGCAGGAGCCCTGAGCACACCGGCCGAGGGACCTGGCTGTGGGGATGCTGGGACCATCCCCTATCAGGGAGTGTGTCCTTGTCCCTGGAGACAATCCTGTGCGTGTGGCAAGGATGCTCTAAGCAGAAACCATGGTCCTGCCACTGTGGGGATCCTTCCTGTGCAGCTCCCCGGGGTGAGACCCCCACACCTGCAGCAGGGGAGGGTGTGCAATTACAGCTTCCCGCCCTGCCATTTGTATGCAGTGCACATTTGGCATTACCAAACTTCTGAAAACTGGAGGAAGGGGGGGTGGGATATAAAATCAAATTATTAGTGGATTTTTTTTTTTTAATCCTGAGCTCCTTAAAGTGATTGTGGCTTATTTAAAAATAATACAATAATGCTGAGGTGTTCTTCCTTAACAAGCATACCTTGGGAATGGAAACAAGAAAGCAGGAGAATCAAAAATTCAAGATAGGGTTGGACAGGCTTTGAAATTCTTCTCCCTGGTGAGTTACACTAGTGGATATTTAAAAAACCCTAAAAACCGCCTAGATTTTGTTCAGATTTTCACACTGAATTCCCAATTCCCTTAATAAGAAGCTAAATCAATCTTTAGAGAACAAATCACGTAAGACCTATGGCTGTATATTATTAAAATATACTTGAGTAATTTTCTGGTGGTAGAGCTTCAGCTTTCAACACCCAAGCAGCCTCCAAACACCAGGAGCAGGATCTGTGCAGGTCACTGGGGGAAAAGGAGCGTGCCCTGTGCTCCTGGCTCCGTGGTGGTATTGAGCAACATGTGCTCATCCCAGCAGCTGATCAGCTCCCTGGTACATCCCTGGGCTGCTGGGATCTCCCTCTGTAATTACTGACCATTTCAGAGCTTCCTCACCAATTTCCATGAGGGAGCAGCACACTGCTGGCAGTAACAGCACTGCTGCCATCAAACCTCCATGGAAAGCCAAGAGAGGCGTTGGCTTCATTCCTCTCATCATCCTGATGACAGGGCACAGGTCTCCTGAAGCAGAGGCTGTATCTGAGCCCGACCACGCTCTGCTCCCCTGCTGTAACCAGCACACACTGGGAAGGAGCAGCAGCCATGCAGCAGCACATATGGATTCACAGGCATGGAAGGGAAACTGGAAAAGCAGCTCACAGGAGCATCCTTCAATGCAGCAACCTGTGTTTAGGTGATACAGTCAAAATGCAATGACTAGCCCCACTCTCCCATCCCTATCATGATATATAGAATCATTCTGTGATTTTATCACAGACATCTCCATAATCTGTTCTTACAGGTACCACTGCTATCCCATTCTTTTCACCAACATTTCCATACCCCAGCAGATACACCATCCAATCTTCCTGAAACTGATTCCTCTGGATTTCATACAAAACATGACCAGAGGAATTTGTCAGTTGTTTGTAGTGATACATTTGTTTTATGTGTAGGAGCTATTGTCTGTCTGTTTGTAACCAGCACCCACAAGTATCTCTGCTGACCCTCTGAGAGGGCAGAGCCCAGCTAGAAAGGTGAGGCAGCTGAAAATTGGGCTTCTTGGCCACACAATTAGCAATCACTGGGAAAACCCCTCAAATTTTGTGAGTCACCTCTCTTCTCAAACAGACCTGAAGCGAGCGCCTTCTCAGATTGGGTTATGGTACAACAGATGATCCTTTCCTCAGGACAGAGATGCTGAAGCCACAGCCACATTCCAAATCCATTTAAACGTCAGATGAGGCTCGCCCCTGTCAGCTGCGGGAGCCGGGAGACAGCAGCGGCTCCCGCCCACTCCATTAATCAGGATTCAGAGAGAAAAGCCAATGTGCTGCTATAAACCCCCTGACTCGATGCCAGCACCACGAGCAGGGTGCCATCAATCCTTGCCATCCTCCCGCAGCAGCCGGGCACAGCCGGGAACACTGACAGGGCCTTGTGACAGCTCGGCCAGCGCACAGCGAGCCACACTCAGCACACAGGAGATTCTCAACATCTCCCCGTGCACACTGGTCCTGATAGTAAAAGGCCTTAAAATCTTAGAAAATTCAGGGACTTAGAAAGAAAGTTAGGTTTGGAAAGCCCTGGGAAAAGCAGGCCCTGGAAATGTTAGGCCTTGTGCTTGCTAAAGACCAGGTCCTTGGGTAAAAACAATGTATACAATAGAACAATGTAAGTTTAATAATTAATATGTAAGTTGCATAATGACAGAGTATAAAATATGTTCAACTCGAAACCCAAGTCGGGTCAGATTTGGGTATGTGTACCCCTGACACCCAGAGCTCTTTAATAAAGCACCTTCATATAACCATTCATGGTTATG